ATCTATCTATCCATCTATCTATCCATCTATCTATCCATCTATCTATCTATCTATCTATCTATCTATCTATCTATCTATCTATCTATCTATCTATCTATCTATCTATCTATCTATCTATCTATCTATCTATCTATCTATCTATCTATCTATCTATCAGTAGGATGGGATCCATCTGTCACGTTCATGAAACCACCAGTAGCAAACTGTTATTTTTATTAGTAAAACACTTTGCTAATACCTTAATTAGGACAATTTTATAGGCCATTTACTCAATCGTTTAGATTAAAAAAAACCTTAGATTCCAGATTTTGAAACAGCTGTATCTCAACCAAAAAAATGCAGAGTTCCACACAGTTCCCTCATGTTGTCCCAACACAAATTGATTAGGTTAATGTAATAAACTTGAGTGGATTGAACTTAAAACAATTAAGTTGTCCTAAAAAATCTCCCGAAATGTGTTGTTTCAGCTCATTTTCTTTATAAGTAGCTTGAACAAGCAGCAAAAAAGTAGTGAATGGTGTGAATTGTTAAGTAAACTACAGTGTTATCATCTCATCATCTACACAGTCTACTTTATTGACTATCTCTGTCTGTGGGATGTCTGTGTGACTGAATGAAGGTGCGTCAGCGCTTTTGAGGCCTCTGTTTAGTCAGGAGTCCTGGCCAGAAATCCATTATAAATCTGAGATTAGGAGACCATATAGAAAAGTTGGAGAAAACACATCTGCAGTGTCAGCAGAACAGGCTGTTTAACTCCGGATGCCAACATGAGTTTGCAGAATATATCTCAACACACTAGGGAAAAAATCATGTTTAAAGGGATAGTTCACCATGATATAACAAGTCAGTTAGATTTCATGCATGCAGTTAACCAGTTAAATTTCCAGGGATTTCCGCCTGGATTTTTCCTACCCAAATTTTAAAGCTTCCCAAATCCACATGCAGACGTGTAAAAGCAAAAAAATTGGTATCATTTTAAAGAAAACCCTTTCAATTTTCATAAAACACTATTAAAAAGTGTTTAAAATCTAAAAAAGAAAAATGTCTCTACCATAATCTATGCAAAAGTTATTGCATTCCAACTGATGAGAGGTGCTGTACAAGCCACAGGGAGCGATCATTGTTTTCATATTTCACTATTCTTTTGTTTAATCAAACATAATTCACTGTGTTTGGACCACATCAGACATATAAAAGGATTACTTATGCACATCACCTCAAAAAAAGAGGAGAAATGACCCTGAAGCGCACAGCATAAGGTAAGAGATGACAGCTGTCTGTGCTATCTGGGGCTGCTTATTGATCATAAATGAATTGATTTCACTTCTGCGCCATGGAAACATGGCGATTCATTCGGCAACTGTTTGATATGTGAATATAATTCAGTAAAAAGAATGCAAGAACCGTATGAGCACCGACAAGAGCTTTCATTTGAGCTATAACTTGTACATGTGCCGTATGAAAAATATGAAAATGAACCAATGTTCAACACCCAGCTCGGGTATCCAAAATACTGTGTATTTAAGTGTTAATTACTTTTGTACAGTAGAATAAAAACCAAAGTGATGCACATGTGCATAAAATATAGATTCTACACTTTCAAACGACACCACTTACAGGGGTCTGGTGCAATGCTAGCCCTTTAAATCTTAAAGCGAAAGTCAATGACGTCACGGACCCGGTAGCGGGTCTGCAGATTTCTATGACATGTAGACGTATTTAACAGAAACCTAACCACTATAAACAAAACTGACAGCTGGAGGGGTGTGGTTAAGTGTGTTAGCCACACCCAATACCTCAGACATACCTCATCTGAGAATTTAACAAACAGGAAGTGCGTTTTCAGATTCTAATTAAAGATAACAAGAGCAAACTATTGTTTTTTTTTTTCTTAACGACATGCACAGATGAATTATTCACCACAAAACTAGCAATGTGAGCTAACAAAATCATATGGTTGGTTTTGATTTCATGTGTGCTTTAAAGAGCATTTTATACAGTGAAGACTTTACTCATGGTCTTATTTGCCTCTCCACAGGTCCACACAGCAGCAGTGATGAAACACTGCTGTCCCGCTCTCCTCTTCCTCCCACCGAGAGCAGTTTTAGCAGAACTCAGAGTCCACGCAGACCCCTGCACCCGCCCCCTCGCACATCACCAGCGGGTAAGCCACGCCCTCTTACCGTCAGCACACACTCTGCATACACTCTCAGAAAAAAAGGTACAAATAATGATTAGGAGTACCTGATTATTAAACTACTCAAACAAACATGTATATGTGTTATTTTTCAGGCATGTAGTAATAGTAACAATAGATGTTAATAAATGCTGTATTGACTCAATTTCGTGTTGTTTTGTGTAAATGAATAGTTTGGAGATAAAGTGTAAGCTTTTCTGGTGCAATGTGCTTGGGGGAATAATAATTCTGCATGCGCTGTATTAATCTGCTCTCTGCACTGAAACGTCTCTTGAGCAGCATATCATCATGTTAGAGTGATTTCTGAGGGATCACATGCTGAATGTAACCTGACCAATGATGTGTCAGCAGCAGTCACATGACCCTGTGTGGAGAGGTGTGTCAGTGATGTCATGATGCTGTCTGTCACCATGGTGCAGCATTCATGGTGTTCACACACACACTAGAACAAC